TTTATCGACCTTCTGCGGAAACGTATACCGGAACTTGTGGTGCGACAACAATATCATCGAACTTCCAGTCAACATGCTTTGTATTTGACTGCTTGCTATCGGGAGTAAGTGAAGTTTTCATTTTTTGATCTCTTTCACAAAGTAATGTGTACAACGCGGGGTTGAGGAGATAGTTTTAAGCGGCTAATTTCTAAACACATCACATGTCCTCACAAAAACTACTTATGTCGATCTGTTGTGATAACAAAATATTTTCATAATATTTTTTCAGCGATGTCGGTACAGCCGACGTTTCGTTTACCGTGGGTAACCTTTATCAAGGCGATTTTACAATACGATTTTACGGTAACCGAAACGTCGGCTTATTTTCACCTGTACCGACATCGCTGTGTTTTCAAAATTAAAACTTATATAAAACATATCACATGGCGCGTCGATTTTTCGATACACTCCGAACATTCGGATCTGACGCTTTGCTTAGGAAAAGGTGATTTATAAATAGATGTAGCACATCAGTGGGAACCGTAAAAACTGACCTAATGGTTTCTATGCCCTGTTCTACTTAAGGCTATTTTGTCTGTTAGCTCTGTCAGAAAATCACGAAGGATCATCAACTTGTCTGTTTCCCTTCAGTCTACTTATTGGCGCAGAAGAACTGGGTCTAAAAAAACCGTTACTGGCCGAGCATGGTGGTGGGTTGCGTGAATTCAGTATGGATGAATTGGATCTGTTCACCAGTGCATCAGAAGAAACCCAATTCTTGACTAGTAGTGAACGAAGTCTGATTGTGCACCACTACCTGATCGGTTTGCGTGCTGTAGAAGGCGATGCGTGGAAAGACACTTTGACTTTCCGTGCAGGACAGCCCATGAGTAAGTTTGGTTAGTTGAGTACGGTTTCCACCATTCTGTGATTGGCATTCAATGTGTAATCGTTTCTTCAGCCCTAGATATATATTTTAGCCCACCTGATGAAGTGAGTAAATGTAACTGGTATACTTGGTAGATTTCTGTTCAATGACCGACAGATTTTTCTCACTTTGTTATGATCTATTTCATTACGGGTAGTCCGCAGCTTTGCTTTCGTCCGGTTCAATACCACACCTAACCTAGCGAGACCTCATGTGGTTCGCCAGGGTTTCCCAAGGCTTAGGTTATCAGATTACATCGCTGAGTAGCAACTCCTTTTAACCATGGGGTTTACCTCCCCCCCCCCGTCTACTGTTCATCACACTAAGGTGTGTAATGAAAAGAGGTACTCGCTTCTCTATGGGAGGCACGGCTAATTTATGGAAATAATCCGCTTATTTATACTGTTTTTACTTCATTTTATTCTACTTTCCTTCGATCCATCACGGTGAGACTGAACTTTGACCTGGTGTGATGGCTTGCGTGCCTCCATGACCCTGCGAGCCATATAGGATGGCTTTTCACAACCGTAGATCCAATTCTTTCTGGAAGGTCAACGATTAGAGGCCAGACTAAGATCAGTCTCACAAGCCCAGCTGCTTGGGCACCTCCTGGCCTCCTTCATCTATCCACATCCGACCCTGGAGAGGCCACTCCAGCAAATAAACACGGTAAGGGGCAGTTTACCGGTCAAAAAACCCCGCTACATGAACGTAGGAGCAGG